CTGTATATTCATGCAGTGTGCGCATGTCAAAAGATTAAATCTGATCAGAAGCTTGTGACATATAAACGCGCATATCAACCCGATCACTTTATTTAGCGTTCATGTAAACACTACGTTCGGATTCGTCAATCAGAATGAATTAATTCCGATGGAAGCAAAAAGTGTCCATGTAAACGTACCTATTGATCAACATTCCACCCCTCCTGTGACCCATGGTTTGTCTGTGTGTGTATTCAGAACCAGTGACCAACGGGCTTTCAAAATAATAATAATAATAATAATAATAATAATAATAATAAAACTTATTTTTATAAACGTAAAAGTTATTTATTTTATTTTTAAACTTAAAAAAACAACAATAAGTGTTGGCGTTAATTGATTAATGCATTAACGTGATAATAACGTATTAACTTTCCCAGCCCTAATATATATATATATATATATATATAAATATATTTAATATATAAACAGCATATTTTTCTTAAACATACATGCATGTGTTTGTATTTATATATACTTAACGCATATACACAGTACACACGCATATATTATGTAAACAAAAACTGATGCGATTAATCGTGATCAATCGTTTGACAGCAGTAATATATATATATATATATATATATATATATATGGGCTGTCAATGTATTAACATTTTTTATTTTTTACTGTGATTAATATTTAAATACTAATGAATCAAATACAATAATCACCTTTTAATACCACTACAGACAACAAAACAATTAACCCCATTAAAATATATTTAACATTAATACTAATCATATATATATAGGCCATGAGTGATATGTAAACCAATACTGATTAAACCAATAAACGATTGGTTATTGTAATTAGGGCTGTCAATAGATTAAAATTTTTAATCTAATTAATCACACACTTTTTCTGTGATTAATTGCGATTAATTGCACACATCATGAAATTAAGAATAGACCATTTGTCTTGTTTCAAATGTTTATTTTGTCATAATTTGCTATATTCAGCAAAGTAAACTAAAAGATTAAAGGGTGATTCTCAAAAATCTGTATTTATTGCAAACTTTTTTCAAGATAAATGTAGATGTCTTTCAAAAGAACTCCAAAAGGATACTCCAAAAGGACACCAAAGAACCAAATGATATAAGGAAAAAAAAAAGAAAAAGAAATGCAAAAAATCTAAACGAATATCTGAATTGTATAGTATGTGTACAGTGCAATAGCAAATAGCTTTTTTACATTTTAGAGAAGTCAAGTTGCGATACCGAACAGGACCACATGGTGATGCCAAAAAACCACTAAACCAACCACCTGCATTTATCTACTACATTACACAGATCCATTCAGAATAACTAACACATGACACAGCAACATACACATGACAAATCAAAACATTATCATGAATGTGTGTGGAAACAACGTGAATGTACAGAAATGTCTGTGCCTGCGCATAAATACAATGTGCGATCAGTGCGTCAAGAGCACTCATACACGCATTATTATAACGGACTCACGCATGCTTACTGTATGACTCCTGTATGCCGCCGCAATCATCTTTACCTTGATTGCAGTCTTCATCCATCAAAACTTTACTAGCGAGACTGGTTATCCAGTCGAGAAAACATTTGCGTCTCATCTGGCCATACAGCGATGGGATGTGTTGACAATCCGTTCAGTCTGTACTTCACACAGCATGTGTGACGTGTGAGGGCTCGCGCTCTTCAGAGACAATCAGAGAATATAACAGAGCTCGTGTTTTAAAGCGAAGTATATATATATATATATATATATAATGACTGTTTTAAAGTATGTAGCTAGTTTATGTTTTCTGCATAAGTGATGTCCTTTAAGCATTAAGCCTTTATTTTAAAATTATTTTGGGTTCATGAGAAACATAAATCCAGTCCAGTGTGTCCAAACTTTTACTGCTACTGATTGTGCGCTCTTCAAGAGTGTGTAGGAAGCAGAGCTGTAGCATTGTACCATAACTAAGGAACCGAGCAACCTACAGTATTTACATGAGACAAGGCTGTTTTTAGTCTATTGATTTTCTGCAATTGTTAGACTAGCGCGGAAAGCTGATGTGAAGAAAATTAACATCATTCATTGGCTACGAGGTCACAGAATGATTTGTCTTTAAATGCCAATAATGATTTCCCATCAGGCACAGAGCTGCAAACCTTCTGAGGGGCACCAGGCTTTAAGAATCTGAACACATAAGCAAACATTTAGCAATAGCAAGCATTTTATTGTGAACCATGATGTAAATGTTATGCTGTATCAGAAGTCTGGACTGAATATATGGAATGGTTCTTAAATGCTTGACAGTTTTGTAGATAAAGGTAAATTGTGTATATACTGTACATTCATTTCTTTTCAACACTAAAATTTCACATAAATAAATAAAAATTAGTAAGTGGTTAAGGAAGTGTATGAATTAGAACTGACAGCGAACAAAAATCAACCAATAAGCATGCAACTTTATTTGTTCCGTTTGAACTTTTTATTTTAACTTTTTACATTACACAAATAAGACCTGTACGAACATCATTCGGTTATGAGCGGGAACTATTAAATGTTTGCTTGGAGGATTAACAGTTTGGATTTGATATGTGGGGAATGGGAAGAACTGCAGGGAATTTATTTTAGGACTCGTAGGACGGCTTTGAGGTTAATTTGTCTTTCATTTGCCTGAATTGCTCGTAGGAGGTTTCATCCACATTAATATGGGTAGATGACTTTAAAACTGAAAGTAATTTAAAATAATTTGAGATCACTGAGATGTAAACAGGATATTACTCTCAATACGATCTCTGTTGCTTTACCACTCAAAGTGGAGAGGAGGCGTTTTTGGTTCCTGACCTTGATGAATGCGTGGAGCGCTGACGTTACACTAGAAATATAAATGACTATGTACTCTTATCTTTGCTCTATTTAATGCCGTTTTCAGGTTCTTCTGGGAATGTCCAACAGTACGTGGTCAGAAATTACATTTATAACTTGATGTGCAATTTTGGCTGGAATAAAATAAACATAAAGGCTGATTTCTTTATCTCTTTTTCACATTTCGGTAAAACAGGAAGCATATGTTGAGCTAGTAAAAACAAATGATGCTAATTATGTGTGTTATAGTGCTCCTTCTGTGTATTTAAGCATTCTCATACTGAAATGGAGAATTATGGGAAATGTATTTTAGCCACACATGCCTGTTACCTTATAAACATGCAAAATGAATTGTACTTCATGCTGCAAAAATAAAGCACTACTGTGCTATTCCGATCATAGTCATCATGAATTTTCATTACATTCCTATTCAGTGCCTCTTGGACAATAACTTCACCTTTCCTCAGTCGCTGACAGTTGTAAGTCTTTGTGCAAACCCAGTGCATAAACTCAAAAAACAGTATCAGAAGCCTCTGGCACTGAGGCTGTCAGCTAGAAATATTGTGATTTATATTGTTTGATGCTTTATGAGGACACCTTTCATGAGAGTCCTTTTGAATTTTATTTATGAGATAAATATTCATTGTTTACTCAGGTGACATTAGCCCTTGTGTATGAAAAATTGAACTAGAATCTCTTTAAAGAGAGGCAATCCTTCAGTGATTAATCAACGGGAGCGCGGCACCTGCATTTACTATGCAAAATAAATCAATGGTCTATGAAATTCATACTTTAATTATTTGGTGAATAAATTGGTCTTGGGGAAATTAATTTGGACCATGAGGAAGTTTATCTCTCTCGTTCTTTTCTCCTGTTGTGCAGCGAGAAAGTCTATGTGACTACGATATAGTCGACATAAGGCAAACAGTGTGAGATCAGAGTAGTAATCCGCTCTCTCATATCTCCTGGATTTATATGGCATAATATGACTGCTTCAGAGTTACAGAAAAACACACATAATTTTGTTCTGTTGACAGCCTGTCTTTTGTCATTTGGTTTCTAGCTCAATGTGACATGATAAAGAATACTTTATTCCTCTGCGTATCTGTACGGAATAAAAAATGTGCCCGAGTGCTCGGAAGTGACAGTAATGATTGATCACGAAAACATAATGATTTCATGTCTTGACTTTTTTTTTCCAACTTCAGAACTATAATTTTTTATATTGTGATTGGTTATGGAGACATTTTGGGTGGTGCCTTGTGGTCAAATGATGTAAATGTGATGGAACAAAAAGCAGGGTCGAAGTCGAAGTCGAAGTCGAAGTCAAGTGATGATGTGCGCTACCGGCGCCTATTTTGTACTAGTTGCGACGGTAGTGACGTCATGGCTGTCGCCGGCCAAACAAGTTGGTGTTTTTTCAATGTAGGCTTCAGACACGGGTCACGACGAGGCGTTCCCCATAGCGACCCCTAGAGGACGCAGTGTCTCGTTCCCCTCAGGGAACCATGGTTACATAAGTAACCCGAGACGATTTCATGTCTTGACTTTTTTTTTCCAACTTCAGAACTATAATTTTTTATATTGTGATTGGTTATGGAGACATTTTGGGTGGTGCCTTGTGGTCAAATGATGTAAATGTGATGGAACAAAAAGCAGGGTCGAAGTCGAAGTCGAAGTCGAAGTCTGAGACCATCTTGTCTATACAAAGTTGAAACCATCTGATTTGAGTTCAGCCGAAGCTCCTTAAACTATGTTCTTGGGTCAAAACAAAAATTAGCTTAGAAGAGATGTGATTTATTGTTTTCTGCTTTATTGTGTGGGGCCTGGTCTGGACACAAGGGTTACTTTCCTCATTCCAATGCAGTTTGGTAAAGTATGCAAACATGAAACCGTATCTCTGTACATTTTTATAACATGCTGGTTATGATTGCCCTGAACACTGTAGTAGAGAGCAGTGAATTAATCCATATCACCTACACATCAGCTCCCAGACTCCCCCTCCTATGAGCCCTCGCTCTGACAAGGTCAGCATGCTACAATGCAGATTCAGACAGGGGTTTCCTTAGGGACATGTGCTTTATTCTCGCAGCTCATCTGTTTGCTCTCCTTCTGCCCCGGCAGAGATCATCTACAGCTGGGTGTTCAATGAGCTTCCCTCGTTCGTGGCAGAGGACAGCCGGCGATTCATCTCGCAGGAAACGGGAAATCTGTATATCTCCAAGGTGCAGCCCTCGGACGTGGGCAGCTACGTGTGCCAAGTGAAGAACACTGTGACCAACGCCAGGGTCCTGAGCCCACCGACGCCTCTGGCTCTCAAAACAGATGGTGAGATATTATACGTACTTCACACACACACACACACACATGCACACACACATTCCTGCTCCCTAAACCCCCATCACCTGCACAGCAGAACTAGGCTGGATGCCAAGCACCACTCTTGGTGAACTGAACTGATGAATCAATGCCATGACATGAAGTCTCTTTGCTAATAAATTAAAATAAGACATTCCTTTACCATTTTAGCTCGTCTTAAAAAAAATGACTGTAGCTTCAGCTGGCACAAGGGGCAATATAAATAACAATGTAGGTCACAATATTTTAAACATTTTGTGAGATAGCAATATATATTATAGCATACACATTCATGCTATTAACTTACCTGATACTGTACTTAAGATTAAAATCCAACATGTTACCAATGTGCAGTTTGTAAAAGTGAGATGTGCTATTACTAAGCAATCAGACATATGATTCTGGGCTAGTATATAATAAATGGGAGACAGACCTGAGCCATATTTGTGGCTGTTATAGAGACCTGAAGTGATTTTTTAATTTTACCATGTTAGGTGAAACCACCTAACAACATGCTAACAATAAAGCAGATGAATAAAATAACAAATGCTCACACAATTTAAAAATGGTTTTAACTTTTTAAAATTGTATTCTTGATCATTTTATTTACATGTATGTAATGTATAGTCAAATTAAATCGTATAACAAAACAGGTTTTCCTTACATGCTGATTGGTTGTGTTCACGCAGCATTGTATTTCAACCACCATTTATTCTGATAATTTTCAAAATATTACTGTTATTGTGTCATGAAATGTAGTTTTAAAAGTATTTCATGCGAGAATGTAGTTGCTCAAAACTCAAATCTGCGGTTTATTTATAAAGACAGTGCCTATTTAAAAATGTGTTTCGCCGATTCGGGAGACGTGAGCTCCACGCGATCAGCGGGCGCTAAGTGCTCATGTTTCCCGACGAGAGCAGCCTCAACTCGGCTAGTCCTTCTGACATTTGCCGCTGGCTCTGATGTCTCTTTAGTTGTTAAACATAAGGCAAGGCAAGTTTATTTATATAGCACATTTCATACACAATGGTAATTCAAAGTGCTTTACATAAAAGATAGGAAAAAAATAATCACAACAATAAAACAAGGAATTTAAAAACTTTGAAAATGATTAAAAATTGATTTAAGAGGTTTAAAATAAATTAAGATATAATTTGGTTTGGGTAAATCTAACAGGTAATATTTGGTTTGTATTATATCTATTAATCTATTAATATGTTAAAATTAAAATAAAAAGAGGCAATACTGTTTGATATAATATTTTGTTTCATTGTAATGTAGGCTGTATACATTCCCTGAACTACATTTCTGCGGCTATTAATATGTTTAAATGAAAACGAAAGGAGGCAGGGGTGTTTGATATCATATTTCGTCTTATTATAAATGCAGTGAGGAAAATTGCATTAGCCAAGGTGAGCTGACTGACGTTATCAAGTACGCTGCTGTTTGCAGAATTACCGGACTTGCGTCGTCCCGTCAGCAGGAGTTCACACTCCCATGTCGAACTCGCAAAGTCCAAACTACCGAGGATGCAAGTCCGAAATTTGCGTAATTGGTATTGAGAAACGCGCACAAATCTTCGCCAGCAAACTATTTGCCTATTCTTCACGATACTTTAGACCACGATGGAAACACAGACAGCAGCAGGTCTGGGGGGAAACAATTTCCTGGGAAAAAAGTTCCTGTGACAAATTGTTCCAGATAATTTCGTTGGAAAAACGGCTTTACTTTATATGACGAAAAAATATTTAACTTGCGCTTTTATTCATATATAAACAATTGATCGGGGAACATATACAAAAGTTCAACCATTCTTGCTTGATCCGCGAACAAATCTCATTGGTTCTTGCGGAAGCTTAAACGTACTAGTATGATACGTGAGAATGAATCCTATTGGCTTTTGCGCGTCAAGCAAGCATACTTGAGCTTCTATGATCAAATTTAAATGCCGTAATGTTAAATGCTATGAATAAAGGCCTAATTTAAATCTGTTCATCATAAAAAGCAATCAAGCAAGACTTGGATTAAACTGCTCGATTCATATGGATTTATTTTACAATTCTTTTTGAAGCGGGTTTTGGGTCAACAGACTTTTAGTGGGGGGACAGAAACGACCAAATTCCATTCAAAATATATTAATTTGTGTTGAACGAAAGTATTATGGGTTTGGAACAACATGAGGGTGAGTAAATGATGACAGAATGCTCATTTTTGGGTGAACTAAACTTTTCACTTGTTCCGATAATGTCTCAAGAAAGCATGGCAGAGACACAGAAGCAACAGCAACCGAGGGGGCGGGGCTTAGCTGGCTGATCGTAAATTGAATGGAATGCCCATTCCCTACCATGTGACAGTGTTTTCCATAATCATGATGGAAACGATATTCAAATTTCAAATAACAAATGTCAGTTTGCAATTTCAAATGCCATGTTTGCCATCATTTCCCATAGAGAGAGGCTAGTAAATGTGTTTTAAGGTAACAGCTGGGCTTGTGAGATTTTTGGAAGCTCTGAATCCCAATACAGGAAAAAGTCTATCAATATCTCAGAAGGCTAGAAATAATGGATGTGCCTGCAAATCAGGCTTGAAAGGAAATGTGGCAGTTTTTCAGTGGCGTGACAAGCGGGTCAGCTGTTTATATTAGTGCTTTTATGCCATGTGAAGCCGATTTAATGAGACGTCTGACTTATATATGTAGTTTATATGCCTCATTCTCTCTTCTCCCTTCTCGTTGCACGAGCGGCCTTTAGGGCCAAACCGAAAGTGTCATGAATTCCAAAACATCCACATTAAACAGAGAGCATGAGGTGCTTTATCTTTTGCTTTAGAGCACTTTTTCCACAGACAATGCGCTCTGGTGAAACTGCCCATTGGGGAAATCATTTCCCAGCATAAAATTAACTGAATCAATGGTCCTCTTCCAGTATGGGCCGTAGCTTCTTTAATAGTAGATTCCCGAGCGCCAAGCGGGGGAGCCAAACACCCGGCTGTCACTTCAGGCATTTTTCCATACTTCACAAACACGCACGCATCACCTGCCGCCGGTACATGTCAATGTCAGCCGCCCCGGAACGCAATCCCAGAACAGCCAGGCTAAAAGGACTACAGTGCCCTAAAAGCTTGTTTTTGCCTACGTTGCTTAATGTTGCACGTCCTTTGTGAGGGCGCTACGTCCCCTTCGGCATGCTCTTCGGCATTTGCATAACCTTGTTGTTGAGAAACACTCCTCCGAGACATGTACGCATCTAAATGCATTAGCATACTAAATTGGATTTGCACCTCTCCTTAGCACAGATTACAAATGCAAGTAGCGTCACGTTCTCTGGTCGCACTCGGAAGTTAGAGAAAGAGCAGAGACGGAAGGCTGGAGAGGAAATGAAAAGTCCCGAGGGTTGTTTCAGAGCCACAGGGGGTAGAGTCAGGATGAATTGCTTTGTGGCAGCTGCATTTCCATATAATCGGGGTCTCATGCGGAATGAGTGCCAGTTCAGCGAGAGGTTAGTCACCCGTAACACAAGCACGGCTGATGGGAGTCTTTATTCATTCCGTGCCTGACGTACGCAGCGTTAGCTTGGCAGACGTTGTGTGGGAAGCATCACGCGTTCGGCAGCTAAACGGCTCGGCGGGCTGCGCCTAAAAGCCTGAAAATTATTTTGGCCCCCTCTGGCCAAGCTCGAACTGCCTCGCTTCCAGCCGGTCTTCCAGTGATCTCGATCTGCACCAATCTACAGCCCACTATTCATGTTTTCTGCTAAGGCAGAATGATAATTAACTGCACGAGAGGCTCCGCACAGGAATGCGCAGGTGAAGCACTTCACCTATGTCCTTCCCTTGGCTAAGATGCTCTTAATCAAAGCTGCCCAACTGAATCCGCGCTCGGCTGCACCTACTGGGCAAGTCATGCATCTTCCCCACCCGCGAAACAGCAAAGGCAGCGGAGGCCTTCTGTACTTATGTGATGAATCGCACCTTAATAGATGCGACTCGGATGGAACAATAACTCTCACAGAGCTGGAGCCTCGCAAAACACTCGGTGGTGCTGGGATTGCTCGTCCTTCCCGCTTGGCCTTGGACCTTGAAGGGGCAGCATTTTTAAGTGGAGGGTCAAGCATTTCTGAGGCCTTCATCATTGTCATTCATTTATAGGAGAGAAGGTATCGGTGTCCTTGGATTCGAAGAGCGAAAGTGCAGTGGCTTCAATTATTGAGCTGCGAATGTTGGGTCAGTGTTTCAAATAGCATTTCAAATGTCACTAATGGTCATAAAAAATGCATACTGATAGCATTGATGTCTCATTCTCGAATAATACCATTGTGTACATGCTTTTCTAATCATAAAATGAGAAACCTGAGATGCTGGGGAAAAAAAAGGTCTCAGCGTGCTGTGCAAAAACCCCGGTCTTCATTTTGAATAAGACTACCATGTCTATTGCATGCCCACAGAATGCCCCCAAATTTTAACTAAAGTAGTATTGATAATTCCTTTGTTTTGTTTTGTTTTGTGCTTGTAAAGTTTCTGTTTTCAATGTAACATCTGGTAGAACTAGCCTTTCTGGACTGTAGTGTACAGTATTGGTTTCCCCAAAAATGCAGGATTGTTGGGAGAAACTACAGACACAGTATCAAAATCAGTGAATGACTCAAGACAAGTACCTCTGTTTCTGTTACCTAGTACCTAAGGCAAACTGTCAGTGCCCAAATGAGGCGAATGTTATTGCACTAACATCTAGTTGTTTAGTTGAGGTTCGTACACATTATGTGGATTTTATATAAATACAGTTGTCACTAGCTGAATTTTGCAAGAGTTAATTTAGTCGTAGAATGCAGTTGTCACTCTTGTAAATAAGCGCACACAACATGTTTGAGCACTCTGAAGAATGACAGAATGTACTGGTGTAGCACTGTGCCAGTCATATTTAAATAAAGCCAGTGTCATTCTTTTCAGTGCAAGCACGCTTCTTTTTATGCAAA